GTCCAAGGCATGCCCAAAAAATTTCTTGTGCTCCTCACCCTACATGTCGATCATTTTAATTTTTTAAATTTTTTTTTATCTTTGATCGAAGATATCTCGCAACCACCTGATCAAATCTTTAAATTCTACAGCTTTCTAAAATTAAAATAAAAAAAAGTTGACCGAATTTAGTCAGGTGGGTGCTGAGATATCTTCGATCAAAGTTTGAAAACAATTTTTGCCGCAGCTTATATTTGATGGACGTTTAGAATTTTACAAAAACTTTGACCGAAGATATCTCGACACTCACTTTGACCAAATTAGGGGAATTTTTTTTCTTTGAAATCTACAGCTTTCTACAATTAAAATAAAATAACAAGATGACCGAATTCGGTCAGATGGGTGCCGAGATATCTTCGATCAATTGAATAAAAAAATTATCAATTCCCATAATCATTTTCAATAATTAGATAAATTAACTTAATTGTTTGAAATGCTCAATTTCTTTCCATCCTCTAGAACCGGTATAGGTCTAGACCTCCCAAAAAATTCCACAAAGGTGAAAATTTTACACCATCTATCCAACAAATGGATTCAAAATTAAGGAGATTACTTGTAAATTCACTTAAAAAGCAATCTGATTATGAGAAAAAACAAATATCTAATGAAAAAACTAGAAATAGTAAAATTCCCAATAATGTGTTTAATAATAATGCATCTAATAACGCATCTAATAACGTTTCTAATAACGTTTCTAATGACGCATCTAATAACGTTTCTAATAATATTTCTAATAACGTTTCAATTCAAAAACCAACTGAAAAAATGGATGAAACCCATAAAAAATCAGAGGTAATTATCTTTTTATTGCAAGATGATACGTTATTGACAATTAAAAATAGATGTTAACTAATTCAAAGTCGTGCTATTTTTTTATAGTTTTCAGTCATTGTTAATTATGGTCCCCAATGTATAAATATTGAGTGTCAGCAATCAGCTACACTTGCATATCTGAAGCTGATAGCTGAAACTCAATTTTCTCTTATTTCGATTGAAAATTTACAATATAGAAATATCAAGGGCACTGTGATCAATATTCATAGTGAAGATGATTGGAATGTTGCAAAATGGGAAATGAATAAGGAAAATAATGATAGGATCGAAGTTTATATTCAACCCTGAATGCAGATAATTAATATGGTAACGTTAACTGAAAAAAAAACAAGAAGTTGAAAATATTTCAATTTCATATTTAAAAACTATCCTTTTAAAGAAATATTACTTATATGTAAAACCATCATCATTATGCAAATTAATTAATTGGGTTTCACTTGGAATTATAATTTGAGTTATATTTTCTTTAGTTTGATTAATAAATTCTTGTTAATATCGAAGCTTTTTTTATTAGTAATATTTATTATGAGAACCCTTTTTATGTTTTTGTAAAGATTTGTTGGTTGGCAAGAACGGACATACATACATTCAAGCTAAATCTTAATTTTGGATGTGTTGACATTGTAGTACTGTTCAGAATACATTTGCAAAAAAAAATATATATCATTATCGCTATATTACTAATCACAAATTATGATAAAGAGAAAGCAGCAAGGCTAATTCTATTTTGGCAACCGAGTAAGCCACACTTTAGTTTAAAATAGCATAGCTATAAATAGATATCATATTTTATTGAAAATGTAAACCAATAATAATAATAATAATAATAATAATAATAATAATAATAAAATAATGCAAACTAATTTCCGATTTACCTACTCCACTTCAAAAAATACTTCTAATAATTTTTATAGAATATTAAACTTGAGCTAATAGTTAAATCTGAAAAAATAAATATTGAACAGCTTATTGTAGATTTATGCATAAATCTTAATAGCAAAGAAGTGCCTTAAATTGGTTAAGCAAATCTCAGAAACTATCAAAGACCACTATGTGGCTAAAAAAGAATATGAAAGAGTTGAATCTTTATCATCGGGCAAACTGGCCTATCTCTATTAATGAAACTCTACAGTAAAGGGGCAAAAATTTGAGAATAACCAGTATTAGTCCAATAAAAAAAGCATAAAATTTCTCAACCCAACTATAATGAAAGTACGTAAAAAAATGTATAATTTATAAAAAACTTTAACACATGCAAACTAAATTGATTATAATATAAAAGCTTGTAATATTTGCACAATAATTCAGATAATTCAGTAATTAGTGAAAAGAAATATACAAAATAATAGATAATAATTCTGAACTATCACGTAATCATCCGGAGTGCAACCTGGTACGTATTTTCGGGTTGCAAACTGCAATAAATTTAAGTGCAGTAAATATTGACACATGTTATATTTAGTCAGTATTGGCAGGACCCTGGACATCTTCAATATAGGTCATAACTGATCTGCATGGATTTTGGGGTTTTTGCTACCCCTAAAATCAAATAAATTTGCTAAAAATTCAATTATTACATATAAATTTTATAGTAA